TTCCCGCAATGTGCTGGCAGCGACCTAACAATTCTTCAGTGCATTCTGCTCTCGGTACTCTATCTCCGCCTTCCAATCCCTCAAAGACTCGAGCTGAGGCAGCCGCACACAGCCATGCCTCTTTTTGGCCACGGACTACATGCTGCTCTCTCGTCTCGTCAACACATTCGACCCTCAGATCGTCGCGCGGTGCCTCGCCATCAAACCGACCCGCGTCGTCAAGATCTTCGTATGGAGCGACGCGCTGACGTTCTTCCTGCAGGTGTCGGGTGGAGGTCTGACGTCGTCGCACAACGTCAGCCAGGCCAATCTAGGCTCTAAAGTGCGTCGTCCCATATCCAACGTGCAGAATCTTCCGACTCCTGACACGACGCACGGCATATAGATCGCGTTGATTGGGCTCATCCTCAAGCCGTCTCGTTCCTGCTATTCACATTCCTCGTGTTCACCTTTGCCCATCATGTGTACGTCTTCCTCTATTTCTGTTCATCGTGCAGTCGGAGTCAGGCTGATCGGCCGTCCAGCGAGAGTGACTACCCCCAAATCTGGCACCCGAAGACCTCCGTGCCAGTGAGGATCCTCTCGACCGAGCCGATCGATGACTGGCGCATCCTGGTCTTTATCATGAGCGTCACCTGCGTGGGCATCCTCACGCGGTCTGTGTTCCGCATCGCCGAATTTGCCGGAGGGTGCGTGTCTCCTCCTTGTCCATTTTGCATTTCTATGGACCTGACGGCGCCGTTGCAGCTACAGCGGACGCGTCGCGACGCACGAGGGCTACTTCTATCTCCTCGACGCGCTGCCGCTGCTGCTCACGATGTCGCTGTACGCGCTCGTCTGGCCGACCCGCTTCTTCCACCCCGCGGCGGAGAAGGCGGCGCGCCTGCGGGGCTCTAGCCAAGATCTTCTCAGCATGCAAGGGTTCCGGGCCTTGTCCGCGTGAATGCACTCCTCACCGGAAATGTTTATTGCGTGGGACTGCGTAATAGTCCCTACTCATACGGAATTTCGGTACATGTCATGTATCGCGCGGCTGCTGATTAGCTACGGACTGATTTGATGGACTACTCTTTTAACCCCTTGTTACACAACTCAGACAAGCGCTGTTTCCTATTTCACTCTTTACCCATGGACAGATTCTCAATGAATTATTGTACAGCTTTCGCAGAGGCGATTTGATCGGGACCCAAGAAACTCCTCCAACGTTGAGCCGCCCGGACATCCATTCTGGCCGAGTTCTTGTGAGATCAAATCTGCGTACAGGATCTTCGTGAACAATAAGTGCAACTCATGTTGATGTCAACATTCCCGTTTCAAAGATTTGGGGAGAATGACATCCCCAAAAGCACTCAACCCCAACTCCATTTGACTCCTCACATATGCTTGAAAAAGTAATGCGTTCCACCAATTGAGTACGATGGATCCGAGAATCCGCCCCAGTCTCACGCCGGTCGCTGATTTCTTTCCACTATCGTCCCAGTTCCTGACCCTGAGGTGCTCAAGCCAACATTCTGTCCTTGGGCTGGGTGTTTTCTGGAAGGAAAAAACTCTCGGAGGGCGTTCAGCTCTGGGGCTTACTGGTGGGACTTGTGGGGTCGTATGAAATCCAATGTCGTCGAGATGAGATATCCGGGGCGCATGGTAGACCGATCAAACGCATTGGATCTTCATCAGATGGGCTCAATGAGTGCCAACGGCAGACTGCCCTGACATTCCGTGGTTGGGAATCCAGGCCGCGCCAAAGGGATATAAAGCTTAAGGAGTCTTGTATGATGATTTCTTGAAACAATCCACACACTAGTGTTGTTCCGGGTCGGGTCGGGTCGGGTCAGAGGCAGGTCGGGTCGGGTCAGAGGTGGGTCGGGTCGAGGGATTTTGCCCGACCCGACCTGGGGGACCGGGTCGGGTCGGGTTGCGGGTCGGGTCTGGGTCGAGACCCGGGTCGGCAGGTTAAAAGATTACAAAACAATTGTATTATATCTAGTACACAGTGTTTTATACGAGCAATAATTACCTGTTGCACAATATTCTACATGTCTTCGTTATCCTCTTTCTCATCGGGTTCATCTGCAAGAGAGTCATCACATGCTTGGAATTCAGGTTAGGGTTTGGGTGGGTCATGGTTGCGGGGTTTGTCCGAAGGGTGGTGACAAAGGCGGGAACAAAAAAATCGACAGCCTGTCACATTTTCAGGCTCATGGCTGCGATCCAGAACCCCATGCTTGCGTTGCAGACTGCCGCAGACCTCCAGGGACTCACGTGTCCAATCACCTGATGTGACCCGGGTCTCGACCCGACCCCGACCCGGTCTCTGACCCGACCCGACCCACCTCTCGGGTCGGGTCGCTGCGACCCGGGTTTCGGGTCGGGTCGCGGGTCGCGACCCGACCTGGGACAACACTACCACACACCTGGAGCCACGATTTCCACAGGTGGTCTAAATTGTTCCGGATTGGGAATCGATTGATCCTCATGATCAGCAAGCGCACGTGCTCCAGCTGTTCAATCTGCCATGTGGCAGTGCAGGTCCTCTGTGATTTGAATGTCAAGGTCTGCGTCAGCGGATAGATTGCAAAGCTTCAAGCGAGGTCTGGATTTTCTTTTACCTACTCATACAATCTGCCTTCACACAAGAAGATCGGACCACAAGGGTTGCAGCGCACTCGGCCTCAGCTCGCCGGCGTCTGGCGCGTGAATGTTCCCGCAACAAAACATGCACCGACTGTCGGTAGCTACACGTCCAACAAATATCTTCTCCGGCACGCATCTTCCGTCACCATAAGCGTACTTCAATTGTTGTTGCATACAATTCATAAATAACATGGAGAAACGATCGACCTGCAGGCACAAGCTGAGCGCCGCACGGCTGGGCCATCCTCGGGATCAGAGACACTGCGAGTAATACTCTACCACACAGACAAACACACGTCAGAACATCTCATGCACAAAACCAACGGGAAGGAAACGGCTCACGGTTGACGACGGTGCACTTGTAGGGCGAGATGCTGCGGGGAAAACAGGTGGGTCAGCGCCGCCGAGTTCTTTGCGATACATCGGACGCACCAGACTGCGGGGACGGTGCCCTGCCCGCCGCACTGGCCGTATTGCGGGACCGTGCCCGGGCCGGTGGGTCCAGAGGCCGCGGCGGTGCTCGTCGCGGCGGCGGTCTACGCGCGATCAGCATGCTTCGCACGGCCCCGAAGCAGCAGTGGCGGGACTCACGCTGGTGACGGCCACGCCGGACGGGTAGAGCGGCGGACCGGGGATGGGGTATGTCGTCTGCGTCCTGGCCTGGTTCGAGTAGATGTCGATCGACACTGTGGTTCAAGTGAGTGTGTCAGTCACTGCGTCTCACTGTATCGACCGGGACGCACGTCCAGGGTCCGAGTTGCTGTATGCGCCAGGGAACGACACGAGCTGCGCCGCGGTCGGCTGGATGGGCTTGCTGCCGCCGGTGATCACGATCTGCGCGCACTCGGGGTACATTTGCTACCGAAGGAATCAGCACCCGGGCGCAATCTCGCGCAAAGGCGGCAGCAGCGATGAGGATGACTCACAGCGGGGAGGGAGTGGAGTGCGATCGTCTCGAAGCGGATGAGGTAGTTCCCGCCCGGGACCGAGGCGGGGATCGTCGTCGTCCAGGACGAGTTCTGCGCGATCATCTTGCCGGATCCCCACGTCCCGTTGAAGATCGTCCCGCTGATCAGGCCGGATTGGTCGATCTTGAACTGGGAAGGGGCGTCAGAATACTGGCGTGTTGTATCTCGAAATGTGTGTGCGGTACCCATTTGAGCGTGGAGGGATTGACTCCAGTGCATGTCGAGCCGGGGCATTGAGCAAGATACGTGAGCTAGGCGATGTCAGAACAACATATCTGTGGGCAGTCGATGAACGCACCATCGGCCCGTAGGGATGCGGCCAGGGTTGGTTCCAGAAAGCGGTGATGGCAGTACCAGCTGCGATCGGGCTCGCGGTGAGCTGGAGAGCAAGAGACGTCCCGTCATCGTTGCACGCGATCGTCGGATCCGTGGCGTTCTGGATCGGATCGCTAGGTGCGCAAGTCAGGAGCGGCTCAGCCTGGATCCCAGACGGACGACGTACTAGGTTGCCCAGGGGCGCTGGATCGTGCTCTGTCCCACCGCTGAGAGCCGCGTCAGTCTAGCCACGAAGCATGGATGATACTATTCTGAGAACCACGTACGGGTATTGTAGGCGAGGAATCCCTTGTAAGTCTGTCCGCCGATGTTGTACGAAACGACTCCGCCGTGTGCGAGGACGGAGGGCAGAGCGGCCAGGAGCGGGAGGGCAAGTTGCGAGAGCATGTCACTGGGTAGTAGTCTGCAGTCGGAGAACTGTTGAGCAGCACAGACTACAGGCCGTGCTCTTTATACGCAGTCTCCAGCAGAAACGGCAGCCCCCCCACGAGACCTTTTTGCGTCGTCATATGAACGATTGAGACTATCCGAAATGGACCCTGGCCAGTTGGGCAGTGATTGTAATTGCCTGTCGTCGATGTTTAGTAAACTGTCCAGCGGGTCCACACAGTCGCTACGCCGGATGACAGCTAGCGATGCTCTCTTCCTCGGATGTGTGCGCGGGAATCAGCGTCGACGGCAGGCTTCGCGAGCATAGATAGCATGGCAGACGTGAGCCCCCGCCTTGTCTGCGCGGCTGAACTTCGCCAGCCCAAATCCGGAAATCATCCGACTCAATGGTGTCAGAAGCGCCCGGGATCTGGCCTCCTGCTCCAAGAGACTGTCGGGTGGTTGCCAAGTCCCGTCAGCTGAGCCGCCGTCGCCATATCAAGGAGACACGCTATCACGGGAGGATGACGTCCAGACAGCCTTTCTTCGGATGCATTGCGGAATACACGTCCTTGGTCATGGCAGAATGACCTCTCCCACCGCTGCCTCGCTGGAGTGCCTGTGTGCCCTTGTGCGGCACGTGCCGAGATCCGGCATTATGATATCTGCGGAAGAAGACCAGCGAGCTGTTTGTTTTGCGTTCGAGGAAGAGAGGGCGCTCGGCCGCTCATGGGGCACTGAAGTCGGTTTCCAAGGGGGATGCAATGCCGCGAGCTCCATAACACGTAATTTAAGAAGGCCGTCGAGGGTTGCTTACGAGGACTGGAAAAAGCCACCGGCTTCTGCACAGGCAGAGATTCGACCTCAAGGCGCAGGGTCGCGGACGGTAGGGCGACCGTTTCGAGGTTTGCAGCACGTCCAGCACCTGGTGGGGTCTCGTGGTCTCTCCTAACGATGATTATCACGCTCTCGTTCACGCTCTGCTTTGCTCTCCTCTGCGAGTTCCAGTGGACCCGGCAGTGAGCCCGTGGTCAGTCGGTCGGTTTCGCAGCCTCCCGCTGCCACCCGGATGCGAGCCTGTCCGAGTGGCCGAATCGCAGAGGTCACTGATGATCGGCGCAGGTGTGGGCGCTTCCATGCGCGGGAGCAGCCGATACAGACCGAGCCCAAGGCGGCTTTACGACGACTATATGCGTGCGTGGGCGAGCAGCGAGCGCAGGGGCAATGAGAGCGTGAGGATCTGGTCGGAGGTGCGAATCGTGAATCCGGCTGTTTCCTCTCGTCGTCGTGCGTACCAAGCAGCGTGTGTGCCGGAAGGGATTCGGTTCAGCTAATCAAGCGCGCCCCCGGGGGCTTGGTCGCGCACGCAGGAGCAAGTCCTCCGCTGTCCAAATGCCCTGCGCTCTTCCTCCGTCCAGGCCCGCCTCCTCTCATCGTGTCAGTGCATCACACGACATGGTCATTGGCCCGCGATTTCGACTGCAGTGCAAGGCTGCTGCCTAGTATGCGCAGCCTGGTTGGGTAGGATGATCAGGAGTTGGAAGGTGCGGCGGGCTTGAGAGAGACGTTATTGAGTCGATCGTCTGCATCCAGCTCAATTCCATCACATTCACGTCGTCTTTGGTTCTCCGCGTCGAAGACCATCAGCCGGGTGTTGCATAAAGGCGTCGGAATATAACAAGGTCAGCACTGCTCATGTTGTTTGTGCAATGGCAGTTGTTTTGTCCAAGCCGTGACGTGCACGTGCCTCACACTGCAGTCCACTCGACGGTACCTGTCATGCGAAGGGCTATGCAACATGTCCGGGATCCGATACTCAGAGAAACCACAATAGCCTAGCACTGTCGCCCAACTTCCCTTTGCCAGAATCCCAAACTTTGCACCTTATCCGAGCCCATGTGTCCAACGCGCGCGCCTTCACTTCCACCCGAGCTGGAGCTACGGATCTTCGAGCTCGCAGCCGACCTAGATCCCGGCACAATACCCGTGCTGCTGCGTGTCGCGCAAAGAGTGCACAGCTGGTGGGTCACCATCCCACCCGCCTCGCACACTGACGCGAGCGGCGGGATGCGCCCATAACAGGATCGAACCCAAGCTGTACTCTTCTCTGAGCATTGACCTGGTCAAGCCTGTCCTGGACACGGACCAGAAATACCAGCTTCTGAGGCAGTATCCGGCACGGGCCGAATTCTTCCACCGCGCCATCCGACATGTGGCTATCCAGACCCTGGATATGCGATTCTTCGCACAGCGGGGGGTGCATAGATGGTCTGCAGAGGAGCTCGCGACCCTGCTCCACATCTGCAGCGGAGCGACGAACGTCCTGGTCTGCGGGGGTATGCGGGATCCCGATATCCTGAGCACGATGCAGAGCGCTGGGTTTCGCGTCGAGAAGATGCTGCTCCTGGTGCCTCTCTCGGAACCGGGACTCGAATTTTCCTCTCCCGTGTTCGGGGCGCTCACCCATTTGTGCCTGTTTGACCTCGACGACTCCGCGGGCAGGTCATTGAGTGCGCATCTCCCCGAGCTGCGACGTCTCCCTGCACTAACCCATCTCGCCATCGACGCGCGAACTCCGCTCGCGACCATCGATGCGCTGTTACGCCAGGATCTGCGCGTTCTGTTGCTCTGGGACCTGGAGAGCAAGCTTGATGATGCAGTGCCGGGTCTGGGCGACCGTCGGGTCGTGGTCTGTGCTGGCCACTTCGAGTGGATAGCCGACTGGCACTCGGGCGCCTCCGGGGCCCCAGACTTCTGGGTGCTTCTTGACCGTTGGCAGCGCCATGGAACGCAAGCGTCTTCGGGCAGCAGCGAGCTGTATGAGGCATGCCATTTCTGGAGACCGGCGACGGTGACCTCGGACCTGTAGTTCGGACATGTTACACCTATGTCTAGCTGATATAACATTCTGTTTATTGTCCGACAGTAAACTTCCCTAGACGAGTCTGAAAGAGCCGTACAAGTGGGGGATTACTCGCAAATCACCGGCATAGTCCCTCAACTCTTGTCAAGTCGTCTCTCCACTCCATCAGCTCCCGGCGTTCTCCGCAGCTCCCTTCGAGGCGTACCAGTTCATCATGAGGTTTGCCAGAGAAGATGGGGGGAAATGAAGCTGATGTCGTTATGGGTGCGGGAGCTCATGAGTCGTGCATGAAGAGAGGAACGACCAGTGGCGACAAAAGACTCGTCTCCCATGCAGGTCTATCATTCCCGAGTCATCATCAATCAGGGTAGATGATCTTCGTATCGATAACTCGAGGCCCTCCTCGAAAACCCCAGCCTCCCGCTGCGCTTCAGCGCACTGGGCACCTTGTTCTCTATGGACTCGACGAACCCATCGTACAGCGCGCTGTTGTCCCCGTGGAAGTAATCAGCCATGAGATGCAGACAGCACGAAACGTCCTGCAGGTGCTCCAGCGCTTCAAGGCCCACCCACGCTAGTGGGGCTGGCGTCGCGCTATGCACCAGCGCAGCATCCAGAACATGGTCCCAAGCGACTTCGGGTATCGTCGGCATGATCTGGAAAACCAGCACGAGCCGCTCGAGCCGCGGTGAAAGTCCACGAAGCCTGGAGATGATGCCGGAAATGTTCTCTGGAAAGACTCTCGATATGCCCAGATTGAATGTGACCTCCAGGGTGCGTAGTAGAGGCATAGCGGGAAAGGGGATATTGCTTCGTATGGCTACAAAGTGTGAGATGAGAATGCATGGGAGGGTGGAACCGCACTTCGAAGATTAAGCTCTAATTGATCGAGTTGAGCGCCTAGAGGCTCCAGTACGGCGAGGTGAGTGTCATCCAGCGATGAATTCACGCCCAGAGAAAGCCTCCTCAGGCTCGGAAACTCGTCCCGTAAGAACCAGGTCCGGAAGAACTGCTCATGGTGATAGACGGTGCTTCCCAAGGGAAGTATGAGGTACTCGAGCCTGCTCTGTCTCCTTTCTTCGCCGACCGACTCGATGTGCAGAAAGACCTCGCTAAGCGAAAGAATTTCGACGTTGTTTGCGATCTCCTCCAGAGCTGCGACCGGGAAGTTGGTCATCTTGGCCAGGTGCAGCTTCTCCAACGACCCCATCGCGAAGAACAGACCCATCTCATCCCGCACGACGCGCGGCAGGGAAGACCAGTCGCATCCCCTCCTCGTCGTTATGACGCAGCGTATGACCGAACCAGCTTCTCTCAGCGCGCGCACGATGTTGTAGAATGCACGCGTTTCGGACGTGACTTTAGGGAGCGGCGTCTTCAGGCTCCGCACACAAAAAGAGATTCTCGGAGACACTTCAAGAAGTGAGGCCAGCCGGGCAAAGGTGTTGCGGAAGCCAGAAGCAGCGTCCTGGACGACTAGCGTACGGAAGATCCGGCGCTGGCAGATGGCTCGGAAGGAACGGGCAGACGAAGCGAGTGAATTCAGCGACGGGCCCGAGTCATCGACGTATGCGAGGATAAGTTCAATCAATTCTAGCGGCAGCGCAGCCTGCATGACTAGACGGGAGAGGGTAAGTAAACACGGATGAGTATCTCGTCTGAGAACATACGGTCCCGGGCCGGCTTTGATGCGGATCGATTGCAGCCCTACGATTTCAAACTGACATTTGATCTACCACCTCTCTTCACCCGCGACTTCGGTTTTACAGAATTCACAGCCTTCCAGGCCCCATATGCATACAGTGTACACTACTATCTAAATACCCGTCACATCCTCCCAAACCGCCCGTCCGACTTCTTCACGGCCTCGTACACATGGAACGTCCGGACATGCGTCGGCTCCGCGCGCGCGTACGACGGCGGCGCGCCATTTTTGCTCCATCCGACGGGCCCCGCGCGTTGGCTGCCCGCTGCGATGCTGTTCATCGACTTCATGCGCGGGAGGACGCCTGCCGACGACCGCGGGGAGACGGACAGCGACGACTGGGAGGACAGCTCGTAGCGCGAGCTCAGCTCGCTCTGGTACTCGCGCATGGCGTCCAGTGCATCGCTCGCGACGGACCAAATCGAGTCCCGCACGCTGGCCGTGTCGTTGACGGCTGTGAATTCGGGCGGGGTTGGCAGCTGTGGTGGTGGGTTGAAGCGGTCGTGCAGGAAGCTGTCCGGGTCGCGTTGGTATAGCAGCACCTCGAGTATAGTTGGGAACTCACTTTTGATAGTCCCACAGCGCTTCTTTTGCGGCGTCGCTCTGTGTACGTCCTTCGCCGATCTCCGCAATCTCCGCCGCGTAGTCAATCAGTCCCGCCTTGCACGAAAGCAGCACCCGCTGGTGCTTGGACGCGTGGATCTCCAACTCCTCAGGCGTCATCGGGATGAATGTCGACGGCCAGAGGATCAGCCCCGGGGAATTGGCCAGCGCGTCGTCAGCGTCGTGCTCGTCCGCCACGGGGGCCAACGTCAAATGCATGGCCGTGACCTCCTTCACGCCACCGAAGGCGCGCACTATCTTCTCGAGCACGAACTCGCTCGGCCGGAGGTGGATACCGAACTTGACGTTGATCATGCTCTCGAAGAGGTCCTCGAGCTCTCGTGCGCCGGCGGCCTGGTCGTCCCAAACGCCGTCCATGGGGACATGCGAAATGGTGTCCGTATCGGAGCTCTCCTCGTCCATACTGTAGATGATGCTGTCCCCGTCGTCGCCTTGTCGCCCCATCACATTCGCCAGGCTCATGCGCGAGAACGCTGTCGAGGGAATGTTTGTGTCCAGATGCGGGGGGCGGGCGGTGAGGATTGCCGGCTGGCCGTACGGGAAGAGGATCTGGTCGTCGATGAACTCGAGTCTTCCCCCGACACTCAGCACACGCCAGACTTGGTTCAGCACGAACTCCCATCGCTCGTGCGGAATGCACAGCGCCAGATTAGCCATCCGGACGAGCTGGAACGTGCCGTCGGGGAAGGGGAGGGCTTGTTTAATACTGTCGAACGGTCACGGTAAGCGTTGGAACAAGGTCTGCGTACTGCACCCACAAGTTTCCCTTTACGAATCTCATGTTGTTTGTTAGTCCCTGCCTTTGCGCCAGAGGCCACAACGCTCTTGTCGTATCAGCCATGTCGAAACCGACGATCTGTGTTCCGGCAGACCGCCAGGCGGCAGCTGCGTGGAGCATCCAATGCCCCGCGCCGCATCCCAGATCGAGCACCTGATTTGGTGGTTGATCCTGGTAGTTATGGAAAGAGGGAGTGTTGCTGGGATTGATTCTTCGTAGGAGTTCACACGTTTGGCGGTCCCTGCGATGAGAAGTGAGTGTCGTTGATTTCTGTCCACGACCGCGGCAACTCACGTCTCAATCAGGGCAGCGTCGTAGGCATCCAGCGGATACGAGCCGACCATGGACACAATGTGCGAAGGCGGAAACATAGATTCGGTGACCGACTCGGTGGGCGATGTTGGCTCTACGGACGGCGACGTCGGTTCGATGGCGAAGACCGGTTCCGGCGACGGACTGCGGACGACTACAGCCACCGGTGGCGGAGGGTCCCCCGTCTTCTTCCGGCCCAGCGCCACCCCGAAAAGCCCCGTCTTCCCGCCCGCCTCGTCTTTCTTCTTTCTGAATCGAATAGGCGCCGAGGATTTCGGATGAGCGCGGGTCCGGCCACCGGGGAACACGAAAGGCTCCGGTGTGCTCTGGTTGTTGCTACTCGACCGCGAGCTGCGGATGCTGCCGCTGCCGCTCCCAGTCGAGCCAGAGGCGGGAACACTGCGGATGCTGGCTGTGGGAGACACCGGTGGCGACCTGGACGGCGGCGGGGACGACGGCATGCTTGGGACAACCGCATTCGCCTTCTTACGGTTCAGGAATTTGAATCCGGGGGTGGAGGACGACGTGCGCAAGCGCGACCGCCCAGACGGATACACAAAAACGGCGGACTGCGGGGTGCTTGGTGACACGGCAGGCCCGGGATCTGACTTTCCGGAGTTGGAGGACCCTACTGAGTGAAACGACTGCATGGCTGGACTGGGCCGGCGCGGCGGGCGGGAGATTGCGTCGGAAGTTTGGGGGCCATTGTGGGGAGCTGAATGGATAGATATTTTCAGGGACGGCGCTGGAGTTGATTGCGGGGTTGGGTAGCTACGCGCTGAATCCTGGCGAAGGCCCGTCAGACCGACATGCCGGGGTAGATGGCAAAATGAGGTCCAAGCGCACAACGCACCTGCTGCAGGCGTGAGGGGAGGTGGAACCGGGACGTTTGTGCCGTAGTCGGCGTTACAGGCGGAGAATGCGAGTAGTAGTATGTCTGGTGAGCAGCCATCCCGAATCACGCCTCCCCCGCAGCTTCAGTTGACGCGCTGTCTCGGTGCAGTCCTGTTCTCCAAATGAAGGTGTTCGTGCGCTGGAGCGTTTCGGGGCGAATGTTCAAGTGGTGGAAGCAGGGCATGCGCATCGGGCTCGCTAACAAAATTTGACCGATTAGATTGCGCTTATTTCGATCGTCCGCCGGGGGCCGGTACTATGCATACGCGCTCGGGCTCACATGGTACGAGATACATGCCGGAAAAGCTGGGCATGTCGACCACTACAAATACACCCGCGCGTGCATATGCACTTGGTCTATCGGGACGCTGTGTGGCTTTGCGACCTGCGTCAGAAACCGCAGAAGCGAGGTGCGCCTGACGGAAATGGGCGAGGATCAGTGCTGATCAGCTGTGCGCTCTTTCCGATCTGGGGTCCTGGAGTTCCCATTCTTCAGGTACAGCGGACGAACGGATTGCGGGTTTTTCCTGAGTCGTTTCACGTGCAGAGGAGGGTTTCACAGGTGAGGGTCAAGTTTCAGCAGAGCAAGGACCGTCTACTCTCCGTTCGTACCTGACGTTTTCGGCTTCCTCCGAGCCCCTATTCCGGGCCAAGCCCAGTAGTGCCAGGTCCCCAGGGAACGTTCCATGGAGAAAGTCTCTGCGTGAGGAGAAGAACGGAAGCTTCCGAAGATTGGGATGCCTTCATGCATGTGATTGCGGGACACGTAGCCGGACTGAACGATAAGTAAAAGAGAATGTATTTTTGGGCTGGGAATTTCAAGTTCTGAGACCCGATGCAACGGAGTGGATAGCGACATGTTCAGGCCGACTGTGTCGTTGGCAACGCGCTGATAAATGAGAGAGAATACGGGCATGACACGTTTGAGCGTGCGAGGGACTATTGTTCACCAGTGACCGAAGGCAGGAACTGGCTATAGCCTGTTTCTATTCTCCTGCCCCTCTCTAATGAACGTGCACGAATATTGTTATGGGGGTGGGAGGTGTGCGTAATTCTTAGTTCATGTACTCGATGAATTGATCATATGGATATGCATGCAAGACTAAAGAGCATATTTTAACTTTTCATCCTCCTGCACTTCATCTCCGGCTCGCGTGCGAGTTGCTGATTGGTATCAGTAGAAAGATCTGATGATGTCACCTGGCAGATCAGCCGCGTGAGTATTACCGATGACACCTCTGCGGGCTCTCACGATCTCCGCTCGGTTGCAGCGGAGTTCTTTGGACCTAGTGCTGACTCGATCGCTTGTTCAAGTTGGCGCACTCTTGAGTGTCAAGGAGGTTTAGTTCGAGTCAATCGATTGCTCACGGAGGGCAAACAATCGTTACTGCGTAGCACACAGACCCGCAGTAGTGACTGTCACAGAGTATCTCAGCACGCGAACTACTTTACGTCGCGCATCCATGGTGCGCAAAATATTCAATAATTTACAGAGTCTCCTGAGCTCTCCCAAGAAAACATTTGCCAAAATACTTGACTGGACTAGTGGTGTGCGTTGACCTATCAATGACCCCGCGACTCTGTTACAGAGGGAACGCATTTCGCTGCGCATGGCTGGCGTTACTGCCCCGCTCTTTCAAATAATGGTTCTCTGCATTCGGGTCCATGTTCATCGCCGTTGCTGCGCCCCGTGTGCCGATGAGAGGGTGCGTATCTGACTCCATTCCGACGTAATCGTACGCAAACTCGCCCATGTCGGACTCGTCGATGCCGAGGACCTCCGTTTCTTCGGAGACGCGCAGTCGCAGGCCTGGTATGTAGTGCATCACCCACAGGATCGCCGTCTGGAGTGTCGTTAGCTATATGTGCCAAGCAGCCGGGCAGCGGAGGAGGTGCTTACCGTCATGACGAAGGAGTATCCCAAACCGGCTGCAGAGTCGGCGACGTGCCATGCGAGCTGGACATAGTGCCTGTCGAGCCATCCACCGGGAATGTCCGTGAACCCGTCGTAATGCGCCACGCTCTTCTGCGCAAAGAACGCCGTGAGGATGTTTCCCACGACACCGCCAACAGCGTGCGAGGCGAACACATCGAGCGAGTCGTCGTATCCAGCGAAGAACTTGATCTGGGTCGCAAAGTTGCATAGTGTGCCGGCCATGAAGCCAAACAGAACAGAGGCCGCTGCAGGCAGTGAGCATTGGGACGGCGCCCTAGTGACTCGATCACTCACGAGAGCCAACGAAGCCAGAGCCGGGCGTGATGGCCACCAAGCCGGCAATAGCACCGGAGCAGAAACCGACCGCAGACCACTTCTTCTCGATACGGTAGTCCCAGGCCATCCACGTCAATCCGCCGACACTGGCTGCCAAGTTGGTCACAATACACGCACTGGCCGCGCGCAGATTCGCCGACAACGCGCTGCCCCCGTTGAACCCAAACCAGCCAAACCACAGGAAGATCGTGCCGAGGATGACATAGGTCGTGTTGTGGGGCTTGTACGCTAGCGCCTCGGTGCCGTAGCCCCGACGCTTGCCGAGGTAGACCGAGATCGCGAGGGCGGCCGTTCCGGAGGATATGTGCACTGGGGTGCCGCCGGCAAAGTCGTACGATCCATGCTTGAATGACCAGCCGTTGGAGTTCCATGTCCAGCATGCGATGGGATCGTAGACGAGCGTGGCCCATGCGAAAACGAAAAAGAGGAGTGGGCCCAGGTGAGCTCGTTCGGCGAAGCCGCCCACGGCGAGCATTGGTCTGGGGGGTGTTACATGACTCGAACGTGGGCAGCGAAAGAATCCACATACGTAATTGCAGCAAACATGAGCTGGTACACACAGAAAACGATCGAGGGTATCTTGGTGCTGCCGATCGAGGGCTTTTCGAGCACATCCCGCAGCGCAAAGTGTTCTGCACCGGTCAGCCAGAGTGCCGAAAACGACGGACGCGGGGGCGGACTCACTCAAGTCTCCGATGAACATATTCGCGCCCTCACTGAACGTGAGCGAGAATCCCCAGAGCCACCACTGGAACGAGACGACCGCGATCGTCATCATGCTGAGATAGATCATCGACAGCGCGTTCTTGCGTCTGCGGCAAGCCTGCATCAGACGCGACCGCTGAAACGTGCGCTAAAGACGCACCGCAGGAGACCCGAATAGAAAAACCCGACACCCGGTACCATGATCCACACGAGCGCAGTAGAGGCAAGCACCCATGCGATGTCCCCCATGTTGTAAACGAATGTCGTGTTCGCATCTTGGGCGTAAACCAGGTCCCCTGCTGCAGACGCGAAAGCCACCAGGTGTGAGCGGGTGCCAGTCGATACGCATACTACTACTGCTGCTACTACTACTCACACGCATCGTAAGAGATGTTGGCCGCCATTGTCAAGGGGGGATGGACGAAGAGAAGATGGGGGGAAGAAAGGATGTGAGACGTGCGGGAGGTCGATCTTGTAGCATCGCGTCCTGCTGCTTAACAGGGCCGCGGAAAGATACCCGAACAAGCAAGGGAGCTTTCACACCCATCAGTAGATGTCACGGTTCGAGATCCTTCGCGAACGCCGGACTGGTGCGCTGCCGCTGCGGAGGCTCCCTCGCGTTGTCCCATGGCCTAAGCAAGCGTCAGTTAGCATGTTCGCCTAGCGCGCGTTTCCACTAATAAGCTCGGGCTGTATTGGAGGACACGTACGCAGCATGAGGTGTGTAGGACTTCAATCAGCCTGGGAACTTGATGGTTCGAGAAGAGTGTGCGCTGCTCGTCAAAGATGGGACTCGCGAGATGTCATATGGCCCATGGATCGGAATGTTGGGCATCCAGGTGTATGCCAGTATGACCCTGTCACCTCGACTTCAAGAGCGACTGGAGCTAGAACGTGATACCGATGAGCACTGTGCATTGGATCTGACACAGTAGTCTGGTTCATCGTCATGAGCAGGCATGTGGATGATGCAAGTTTTGTGCAGGTTTGAGACTTGAATAGAAAGAAACTCGGATCAGAAAAAAAATGATGCGGTGCGCGTCAGCGACAGTGGTTTCCTCCATCCCCATCCTTTCATTCGAATTAGATCCAGAGCGACGAGCGGGCACTGCTCTACCGTGAGCTTTTCTGGGAACCTCAAGTCGCCAACTTGTGGCGTATCGTCAAGTGACGCGTCAAGGTGGCATTTCACGGCGCGCAATCATTGGCCCTGGCCCGTTCTGGGGCAGTACCTGTGTATGACACCGCTCGCCCCTTCCAACCCTCCCTTCGTCCGTGCGCTTCTATACCGCAGCTGCTTTGGGAAGTGCTATCGCTCGACGGACGCATCATGTGCCATGAGATCGTTCACACGCCGTGGGATCGCTAACAGGGACGGTCGGTCAACTGCCCGTCAACGCACATAAGACCCGTACCGCGCTCGCTACGTATTTGCCGAGTTTGGATCTCGCCCGTGAAGCTGCTGCTATTCATTGCCGTGGAACGACTACGAGCGTCGCTGGGGCACCGAGGAGCCACCCGCTAGCCAATCCGAGGATCCGGACTATCCTGCCTTGCGCGACTGGGGGATATGAACAGGAAGCCAACGCCCTTCTACGTCCCTGAAGCCCTCGCCAAACCCTCGAATACGTCCCATCTGCGCTAAGCCGGGCCTATCTGCGCAGTTCTGGCCGCTGATATCACGGCCTGGTCCACGCCTCCGTCTATTCTACGTACGGAAATCGTTGAGACGTTCCTCCGATGCGTCAAATAAGCTGCTGTGTGGATGGACAGCAGAAGACCCGGCGTACAGGCGTTGCTGCATCTATCATGGACCGTGATGGTGGCCCGGCGTCCAAGTCAGTTGTCGGTGTCCTGTCTCGTCGGATATCTGCATACATAGAGTCTTGAGCTGCTGCAAGTCAAGGGCAGATAGCCATCGGCTTCTTTTCCAGCAGCCTGAGCCTGAGCCAAAGTCGGCCACAGCGTTGCTAAAAAAGCGATGCCAATCTGGCTCCAGCCTTACGCAACGCAACGCAAGTCAAGCCACCGCCATGGATCGGCAAGGCCTGGCAAGACGTACTGCAGTGACTGACATGAGCACTGGAGATAGGCACCGGATCAGGCCGTCTGGCTGTTTCGTACTCTTGTTCTCTCTTTAGCATATCTCCCGGCACTTCGCAGAGTCCGATAGAATATGCACACCCTTCGCAGAAATGACAGTGCGAATGTTTTCGTCAGCGTGAATTGTCACGGCGGGCGGCCTCCGGCTAGACACGCAGGCAAAGGGCAAAGCAGGGCGTCGGTTCTGCTGTCGGTTCTTAGTTGCAGAAGCCACAATCTATCGAGAATTGTTAAATGCATAAAGTTTGCTGATGCCTGACATATTCGACATCGAGAACATAGTTGGAAGGGCGCCGTCTGATGCTTCTACGAGCGTCTTGACTTGATCGGCGCACAGCTCAGCCACATGCTGGAAGTTCTGGTGCTAGTTATCGCTCGTCGACTTTCTGGGCGACAAGCCATGGGGCCGCTGTCGGAAGCGAGTCGGATCGCAGGCCCATGCCCTGTGGGAAAGGGAATGGGACTGGATCTTGCACCTGTCGGATATAATCCTCGCGCGTCGCACTTCGCCATAGAGTCCTCTGTTCTCCCCCTCCCGCAACACGTCGTCCAGCATCACACACCCTCGCGTCGCGTGTGTGCGTAGCTGCTGTTACACAGCGGGAAGGCTGTGAGTGCCAACAATAGACTAAGCGTGACTGGGGGAATTGATACGGAATAGATAATGTCAAGTAGAGCTGCCTCAGGGCGTAAAAGGCTGCGACCGCCACAGATAGCTGCCCAGCCGTCCTTGGCACCACTTCTCGAGACGGCCGTAGACTCGTCTGAAGCGCACCCCGACGAGCTCGCGAGCTCAGCTCGGCCTGTGCACCCTCCCACGCCTGCCCCATCGATACGAAGCCGTTCCAGCTCATCCCCCGCCCCATCCTCCTCATCCTTGTCGTTCCTGAGCATGCCTGCAAGGACAGGGCCCCTAGGCTTTCTCGTACCCATGCCTGCACGTGACCAGGTCGCGCAATGGCTCCCACCGAGTCGACGACCCTCGGGATACGACGTTCCTGGCGACGTCATCCCGTACCATGCGCCGTCTGACGATTCCCAGCAGAGAGCCCCGAGAGGAAAGATCCTCCCATTCCGCGCGACGAACCCAAATCGTGACTCGACACCGGTCCCGTCTTATCATGAGCACTTTGCATCGACGAGTTCGGTGACCCAGCAGTCTACTTCTGGTGCACGCCCACGGGCACTGCCACCGTATCCGAATGCACCTGCTGTTCAGACCGGATGGGCTGCGCTATCTGATTCCAAAACTGCTGAAGCGCTCTCAGATCCTCCCAACTACTCCGAGCGAGCGAGGCAGTCGTCGACGGACACCGCATACCCTTATCCATACCCAGCCTCATCGTCGTCGCTTTCCCTCCAGACTAGTGAACCCTCCTGGTCCAACGCTAGATTCGCTCACCCTGCCGAAATGCCTCAACCGCCGTACTATTCTCCTCCTCCACATTCTTCGACTCTGCTCCTCCCATCTCGTTTCCACCAGGTGCCTGGGGCACTGCCACTGGACCCAAACCATACACCGCCGCCCAGAATGGTGGCGGCGGACTATTCGCTTGATCCAGCCAACCAGTATCCGACCCCGCAGTCCAGTTCGTTCTCCTCCCCGTCTACCTCATTTGCAGTCCTCCCCCAGTCTTCCTTTCCTCAACATGTCTCCCAGTCATCCGGCGCAATCACATATGAAGCCCGAGGGGATCCGGCGATGCATTCGCGGCAGTCGATTTCCTCCTCCGGTTCCTCTTCAGGAAACTCGGATCCCCCAGCGGCAGTTGCGTCCAGCAGCAGCAGCCGAGTTGCCACTTCAGCGCCAGCCTTCGTCTTCCCATCTTCAAGGTCCCGCATGAGGCCCAGCACTACATCGAGTCCCGGCATTTCGGGCTTCCGATTTCGTGGGCGCAGGAAAAGTGCCAAGGTCGCTCCTGTAGAGATCGCGGCGGTGCCCGAAACACCGCTGCCGCCGCAACCAGTGTCTCCGACGGCAGCGGCAAGCGTCCGAAGCGCCCCCACGCCCCAGGCGTCGGGACGCATGGTCTCGCCGACCGCTGCGTCAAGCCAGAGCGCGGAGCCGTTCTACTTCCCCGGCGCGCGGACACGCGCGCACCCCAAGTCTTCGACGCCGATACGGTTCCGGAGGAGGAAGGACGGGAATGGCGAGCGGCCTGGGCTGCTGGGAATAGAGCTGAGCCGCAAGAAGAGCTCGGTGGTGCCTAGTCTGCCGTCACCCGAATCACTGGACCGCGAAGTTACTACGCCGATCCCCAGCGTTCGTCGGCCGTCCCTGGGGGAGACGCACGGCAGTCCTGAGTCGATGATGCCGATTATGACCAGGATCGGCTCGTATCCGCTAGATTCCTACGACGCCGCCCTGATTGAGGCGTAAGTTGCCGGAACACAGAAGCTTGCTGTATGTTACTCACTTGTCACCTGCAGGGACCGCCAAACATTCGAACTTTTGCGAAAGATCAACAGCACCAATACTCCTTCCTTCCACAACTACGGCGACCAGCCGCCAATGCAGGTGCTCGATCTTGGATGCGGCGCGGGCCATTGGATGCTCGATGCGGCCGCCGCCTGGCGATCAGCGGGGACGCAAATTGTCGGCTTTGACATGACCGATACGACCAAAGCTTTGTGGCCTCTTGCACAACGGCAGGGACTGACGAGCAACATGAGATTCGTGAAGGGGAACTTGTGCGTGTAGCACGCACACTTGGTTCCAACGCTAACCATAATGATACAACAGCATCAAGCAAGCCCTCCCTTTCCCCGACGGGACGTTCCAGCTCGTCCGGATGGCTAATCTGGCGCTGTGTATCCCGCACGAGCGATGGGACTTCGTGCTGAACCAAGTCTGGCGGGTGCTGAGTGTTGGGGGACGACTCGAGTTCATCGACGACCAGATGTTCTTTCCATACGGAAAACCTGCAGTGCTCGATGCGCCACAGCTCGACACGAGCATCCCGTCCACCGCGTTCTCGCGTCTCAGCCTGGCCGACGTCGTGGCTGGCGGCGATGGCGACAGCGAGATCTACAACGTCGAGGAGGAGCAGGAGGAGGAGACGAGCACCCCCACCGAGTCACACGTGGACCCCGAGGTCTGGCACGAGCAAGCGGCCAGCGCGCGCGAGCTCGAAAGCCTGTTCGAGAGCATGATGAACCTCAAATACGGGATCCACCTGCGGCCGAACGAGTTCGTCTTTGAGATGCTGGTGCGCGCGTTCGGTGGCGTGAAAGAGATCACGGCGATGCACTTGACGCTGGCGCCGCCGGAACAGCAGCTGCCGACAGATGACGACCCACTGGCGACTTCGCCCGGGTTGATCCTCTGGCCATCGACGTTCATCCCGATGCCCCAGCCTGAGCTGGAGAGCCATGTGTCGAAGCACCAGCGCGTACTGCTCTCGTGCAAGACCGCCCTGACAGAATATGCGGCTGAGATCGCGGAGATAGGCGAAGGCCAAACGCAAAGCGATGCCGCGCAAGAGGCGCTGTGGGATTATCAAAAGTAAGCTTCTTGAGTTCGAAGCGGCAACAAAATGACTCACAAACGCTCAGTTTCCTTCGCGAGCGATTCAATCCGCCGCCAGAGGGCCCGTCCTCCGACACGTCGTCCTCCGACGCCAACAGCATCCATGACTCCGTCTTCTCGCTGAGCTCCGTGGCCAGCGAGGCGCTCGACGCGATGCGCGAGTACCAAAGCGACCTCTACTCGCGCTACTCGCAGGCGCGCTCGCCGACGCCCACGCAGCGCATGAGCGTGCTGAGCAGCGCCAGTACCGTCATGGAGCGCCCCATCATGGGAACGGGAGGCAGACGCGCGTCGCGGGTGCAGGGCCGCGACCGCCTGGGCTCTGTCGTGTCGAGCATCGCCCCGCCGTATTCGCGCACGGAGCTCACGCACGTGCGCACATTCTATGTGTATGAAGCCACGAAGCGGTCAGGCGGCCGCTTTGGGAGGATGTAGCAGATTTTTGTTGTAATATGGTTGTTGTAATTGTAGCTGAAGCTTCGAGTAATGCAGTGACGCTTGTCGGAAGAGCAAGAAAGTGAATCGCCGTGGACAACAAATAAATGATGCCATCAACAGTTTGTTTCGCACAAGTAGGAGACACGACCAAGGAGTATCGAACGCTTTTCGAGCAAACTCGCCCACCAGAAATCATCACAGACAGTCAACCGAGAAATACTCAAACTGTGCAACCGTCCCCTCCTTGTTCTTCGGCCCGCAAACCATCACGCCGACGCGCCACTTGTCTCCCACACTCGCCTTGCTTCTGCCCTGGGCATCGAGATTGAATCCGCGGATCTCTCTGAATTTGGTCAGGTGCGACGCAGCGGGCGGGCTTGGCGAGGCGCCCGTCGGCGAGAGATACTGGCTGAGCGTGACCAGGGGCCCCTCCCGCACCATCTTGATGTACACCGCGTACGGCGAGTCCCCGGATGTCGACGTAGAGTGTGCGGCGGGCGCGATGGCCCAGTCGGAGAACGGCGACGTCACGACGGCACTTGTGAAGCATCAGCCGCGGATTCTCCAGCGTGAATGAGAGCAGTGGGGCATGCGCACCCAATGAACTCGTGCCCGTCCTCGACCTCGACCCCCGCCTTGATCCAGTCGCCCTGGACGTCGTCGGAGCTGCCCGCGAGGAGCATCAGGCAGCCCTGGTCGAACTGGCCGTCCCACGCGCCGCGGATCCAGACGCCAGCGGCGAAGTCTTTCTGCGCGTCGACGGGCGTCGCGAAGAACGCACCCGTGCGGCTGTCGATCTCGGGCGCGGCCGAGGTTGGGGGGACGCGCCACCAGTCTGTTTCGGGCTGCGCGCGCAGCTGCAGCTTGGTGCCTGAGCCGGAGACGCGGTGGGCGGATGCGGCGGGGCGGATTTCGAAAGACGGGTCGGAGAATGAGGAGACCATGTTTCGTGTGTGAGAGTGTCGTGTCGTATCTGGCTCGGTCGTGGCAGCTGAAGCTTGGGGAGCAGTGATCACATGAAGATGAAGTAGGATGATCTGATTAGATTAGATAACTCGATTGGCGGTCCGCATCAAACAGCCTCGCACTCGAGTAATCAAGGCCTCAAGATCGCTTCCGATTCTTGCCCCTTATGGTTTGAACTCTGCTTTTCTGCTGCTAGCACAAGACTGAATTGTGTTTAAAGGCATTCAAAATCATTCAAATGGTAGAAATCGCTTTTGGTTGTTCCAGAGTGACTCTAAGAACATGGACCTCCGCTGTCCGAACCATCTAAATCCTATAGGCCTGCTTCTGAAAGAGAAAATTCACCTTAAGCACGCTGATGCACGCTGGATATTTCATTGATCTAAGACATGATCTGCTAGTGGCCAGCCCCACTCAGTGCTTATGCCTATGATGTTTAATACTGTATATCCACACTGGACCTACATTCAATTTTTTTTATTGGTATGGCCGTCTGTTCACAATCGATTTCGCTGGGAGAATATCCGCATCTGTCTCCTACTTAACTCAATCGCCATGTGACATATCGGATAAGAATGTTACAAACGACTACGCCCAAGACCAATCCCGCCAATAATCCCCACAGACTACACACAAATGATAGGTCAACTTCAGCTTGCCCCTGTTCTTGTGCCGCTTTGACTCGCAGTGACTCGAACATCTATGAGGATCGGATTCCAGAAACACGGGACAACATGTCATGCAGCAGACTTGCCTTGCTGTCTGGTGTTATGTGATCTTCAATCGACCTTTCGAGGATTCCAACCACGCGCTCTGCAATCCTCTCTCATGTGATGTCATTAGCTTCGGTCATTCTATTGATTGAATAAAACACAACTCACGAATTCATGTGTGTTCCGCTCCACAGTCAGCGCCAAATACTTTGTGTACAAGATGTAGAGCTGTTCCCGAACCCCCACGTGACTGTTCAACTTCCTCGCCATCAGCATCAATTCATCCGCACGATCTTTGTTCCAGCGCGCTAGGATGGCTTGCTCGTCGAAATATGGTGCACTTCTCAGAAGCTCCCTGTGTGTTTTGTCTCGGAGTATCGAGAGAAGCATCTGCTGTGGCATGTCTTCCGATGTCTTTTTCGCCCGAAATGTGAGCTGTGGTCTGTCATGATCAGAAGGTGTGACTCACAGATGATTCCATGAGAGCTCAGAACAGGACTCGGGTTATCACTCGCCGGGCTGTAGCTTAAATACATTCTCAATCTGCCAAAGTCGTACTTGGATGACAAGCACGGTCCGTGCATGCTGTCCGTCGAGACAGGCCGAATGGACGCGTAACGGATCAAGGGGGCAGGATGTCACAGGTGAAGAGACTCGGCGCATCTATCTAGTGATGTTCTATGCATGTATGTGATACGGGCACTGGATCGTCTACGCTGGAGATGATGAGGGTTCAAGAAAATGAGGAGTAGGGCTGCACGACCCGAATGCACTTCGGTTGTGGGCGAAGATATGGCGCATCGGGCGGCGGCGGTTTGGATCCCTCTTCCAAGCCGCTCCAGAAGTACGGCCAAGTCGACAAGTAGCACAGCTCCTGCACAGCGGGTCAGTGCCAGCGAACCCCAACAGATGTTCGACGTATGAAGGGGACAGACCTCTGCGCCACACGCGGGCCGGCATTTGATCCACACGCTCCAGTCGAGCCAGGACATGAGATTCTGCAAAGACGCGCGCCAGGAGTCCACCAGATTTATGGAATCCGCGCCAGGGTCGCCAGGAATCAATGGATCGAGTCCAGCGTGGACACCGAGAGCCCACATCCCGACGACAACGCGGCAAATCTCGCGGTTGACGCCCTCGAGCGCCGCGAGGAGCGTCCTCTCAGAAGGTGTGAGGCTATCCTCCCGCTGACGGATCGGATCGCTGTGGCGGGTGGCGCATTTCTTCCAAATCGGGACCGCCCATGCGTCGCCGTCGTGCGCGCCGTCGGGAACAGCCGAGTGCAGGATGTACGGTGTGAGCATCACGCGCAGCTGGACATGTATGAGAGCCTCCTCGGCCCTGCTCTGCAGCAGATGCGACACCAGCTCAAGCCGATCGGAGTACCGCGCGACAGGGACATGGAAAAGAGCCTTCCAGTCGACGCCGCTCGCGCTTGGAGCTGGTGGCTCTGCTAGCACCGACCGGAGTCGGAGGTTTACGGCGTGTAGATCGGCGGCGGAGATGTTGATCAGCCGGTGCTCGAATCTGTCTTGCGATGCGAGTCTGTGCGCGACCAAGGAGGGGACGAGGTCGATGTCGTAGAACGACACGGCGCGAGACAGATCGAGCTGGATGCGGATGTCGCCTGGGTATCGGTTGTGCCACATTCCAGCGCGCAGGACTTCTGCGCCGAGGATCTGCCGCACGATGAGGGGGTCTGCATCATCATGGATGCGAGACTCGATCACGTCGGACCTGTGCGCAGAGGAAATCGGAGGCTCCCAGCGTGGGTACCACGAAGCAAGGAAATCAGCTGAATCGAGCTTCAAGCCGTTTTCGAAATCGCAGACCATGACTTCGCTATGTTGTGTCAGACGGCAGTGGAGAGTTTGAGATTATTCAACGCACAAATCCATCTCCATTCTTAGAATTTGTCAATTCGAGTTTTCGGGGCGTGTGGGGCAACGCACCTGACAAATCCGTCGATGCCGAATTCCTTGCCCCATTTACAAAGCCCAGAGATCCTCTGTCCCTCATCCAACCACCGTTTGGGGTCCGCGTCACCCCAGATGAGTAGATCCTGCGAGTCCAGGGTGCCCGTGATCATATTTGCCGCGCTGGAGCCGTCGAAATACAAGACGCGCAGCGGCCGCGTCGCGGAAAACGTCAGATGCCAGCACCCGGTCTGAGCTTCACGGTATTCCTCTTCTTCCGAGTCTCTGGGCTGCGGAAAGTCGCTGCCGCAGAAGTGGTAAGAGTGTTCGGGGTCGAGCGATGTCCAGTCGGGATATTTGGGCACGTCTGGAAAGCGCCGGCCGTGGTATAGAAGCGTCCCGACGGGAATGGTTCCAGGCACTATCGTGTGGCCTGCCGCGAGATTAACGATTCGGGGGGCAGATAACATCGGAGAGTATTGAGAGTCACGCACCATTGCGATAGCGCGTGTTCGGCCAATGCTGCAGCAGAGAATTGACCGTCTCGAAGATGAAATTGGATGTGTCGTTGAGGTGGGGCACGTGGTCCAGCCTCCACCGGTTCTGCTCGAGTGCTCCGATGCGGAACGGGGCTTGTGTCTCGGCGGAGACAAATTGCAGGAGGGCCGCCTGCAGAAGGAGGATGATGATGCGTGCACGCATCTGAGTTGGAGCAGAGAGTGGCTCTCCGCAAGACTCAGAGTCACCACTATCACCAGAATTGATGTTTTGATCGCAGCGGGTTCGGTCCCGAATCCGGCATGCGGCTCCTCCCGTTGATATCTCTCGAGATACGTATACTCCGCAGTGTCCTGGCTGGAAAGCCCAGGCGCGTCGTTCGACAACGTTCCAAATTTGGATCAGCGAGGTTGTGTCGCTGTTACATAAGACCAGAAGCATGAGTGGCTTCGAAATTTACGCGTCGCAGTCAGGTGATCGCGCCGCTAGGGCCTCTTCTCTTCCGCCTCCTCCACACAAGTCTCGATCAATCGCTGCACTCTCCATGCCATTGCCTCTGGATGAAACCTGGCTGGGATCGGTGGCCAACGGTCAAGAGGGCGAGTCGGAGGCGCTCGAAATCCACGACGACAGCTCTGCAACAAGTGCTCTACCGAAGCCGAAAGCTCCAGCTTCAGCAGATTCACCCTTTGGATCGTCGCAGAGGCCCATCCTCATTGAGGACGACTCGCCCCCGCCGAGCCCCGCCATCCAAGGAAGCCCCGTCCCTGGCATCGCCCAAACACCAGCCGTTCTTCCACCATCCTCCCAGCTCGAATCCGCACGTCTCAGCCCGCCTCGGCAGAAGCGGCGCCTCGCGCACACCAACGACTCCGCTCCCCCAAAGCGCTCCCGCACCCTCCCGCCGCTCTCCTCGCGCACGTTCCCCCGCGGCGCGATCCTGCCCACGCACACGACGCACGGCTCGCCCCGTGCGGACGGGCGCGACGCCGTGCGCCTCGCGGACGTCCTCGGGCCGCCGGCGGAGCTGCAGCTCGCGATCGTCGCGTCGTTCGGGTACGACCCGGCCTGGCTCGGCGCGCATTTCGCGCGCGGGACGCCGGTGGTGGCCGTGTCGCCGGCGGGCCGGGAGGCGCGTGCGAGTGCGAAGGCCGGTGGTGGGCCGGTGGTAGAGAGGCTGCGGGCGCCGCTGGGGAGCTGGGTGCGGACGTGTCCGGAGGTCGGGTTCGGCGGGTGCTTCCATATGAAGGTGTGTGTTGTGCGTCTGGCTTGTTCGGCGCGTGGCGTTTGGAGCAGTAGCAGTGGACGCTGATTGCGATGCCGTGTAGTATATGGTGCTCGTGTACGAATCGGGTCGTTTGCGTGTCGTCGTGAGCACCGCGAATCTGCTGCCGATTGATTGGAGTGACCTTGAGAATGTACGTGCGCTTTGAGAGTACTTGCTGCGTTGTCCTGACTTCTTTACCCCCAGGCTGTGTTCATCCAGGACGTTTTCCCTGTGTCTCCTGGGCGTTCTTCCACTTCCAAAGGGAACGGATTCGCAACAATTCTTCAGACTGTGCTGTTGAAGACCAATGCTGGGGCCGGGTTAGAATTCCTGAGCAAATCGGTCCGCATCCGTCCCAGTCTACAGCGCTCTCATTTCTGACGATCGGCCCTCACTAGATGGATCTCCCGATCAAGGATGTTTCGGACATCTCGACTATGTGGGACTGGAATCAGGTCAAAGCAGAGCTTGTTCCCAGCTTTATCGGCAAATGGCAAGACTGGAAGACAATCAAAGAGTCTGCCCCTTGCTATACATGCTATACATTCTGACTTTTAGCCCAGAAATGGACATCCTCGACTGATGCATGCCGTGCAGTCTCTAGGATTGACGATCCCCACGAATGCCCAGCTCAAGCTTGAATGCCAGGTGGGCCGTCTCAATAGCGCTAGGATACAATTGAGGGCCTCTCTGGCAGGGCTCGAGCATCGGCGTGTACACCACCCAGTGGTTCAACCAATTCTACACCTCCGCGTGCGGGGACCCGAGCGCCCTCACATCTCATCTCGGCATTCCTGAGCCGCAAAGGAAGAAGCTCGCCTATCCAGCTGGCATCAGCGTCGTGTTTCCGACCCAGCAGACGGTCAACGACGCCGAGAGGCGCGGTGCGACGTCCATGTTCTGCACGCGCAAGAAATGGAAAGCGAGGAATTTCCCGAGGGAGGCTTTCCGGGACTCGAGGAGCAGAGGCGGTCGCGTCCTTATGCACACCAAGGCAAGTCGGTGTAAACGTGTGTCGGGGATGGATGATTTATCCATGTGCAGATGATTCTGGCTGAGATCGGATCGGATGGCGTGCGGCCCAGCGCCAGCGGATGGGTATATCTGGGCTCGCATAATTTCACCTCCGCGGCCTGGGGGAATTTATCGGGCACATCGAACTTGCCTGTTCTCAACGTGTGTGCATCATTTGTTCCGTGGACGCGGTGTTCCAACTGCGCGTAGATCAACAACTTTGAGCTCGGGGTCGTCATTCCGATGCAAACACAGCAAGAGCTCGAGGAGATATCTGCTTGGGAGCGCCCACCGAGGAAGTATGGCCCGGGTGATTTGCCATGGGTATGTTCAAACGTCAGGTCTTAAGTATTCTAGAGCTCAATCATTTCCAGTTCAAAGAAGGACTGAGCTTGTGATTCATTTAGCAAGCGATTGAGATCTAGAAGCCGTGGTTCATGAATCATTTTTTTTGCACCCGCTGACGTCTGACTTCCTGAACCAACCCGTGGGCCGTAGTGCCCTCACAGACAATCGACTATGCAGACAGCACTGGCGCGTGAATTATGAATACAGTTGTCATGGATGCCGGGTGATTATGATCAGATGGCGGTGCGCACCGCGTCCCGACTCGCGCCTCCCCAAATATCGTGCCTGGGCCCTGATATATGATACTTCATCCTACCAACCGCGCAGCGAAATCTCTGATGCGCACTGGCGTGTAAGTACTTGGTACTACGCGCGAGGGGCGTTCGAGGGTCGGGATGAGACAAAGCAGGACGCTAAATTGCTCAATTGCACAGTACTGCAAGCATCATGATCACTCCACTGAGCGCGTGCAGGAGTCTGTTTTTCTCGCTCTGACGTGAACGAATGCGGAGAGTCTCCATGGGGTGAACACTGTGAAATCCTTGCATGCGTTACCCAGTTTGATCGTTGCAGCGCCGCCGCCGCCGATCCTACCCAGCCGGGCTCGCCTCGCCCACTGTGTCGTCACCCGCGGCGGACGAATGAGACCCTGCAATAGAAACCTGAAACAGGGAGATGCCGCGTGCGAGTGAGTGTAGTCAGAAGATGCCTCGAGTATAAAACACGCTCCACGCTCAGGTCACACGTCCATTCGATTCCATCCCACTCACTCACTCACTCTCAATGTTTCTTCGGCACGTTCTTTTGTTCTCGCTTTCTGGAGCCGCAGTTGTGTCTGTCGCCGCGCAGGACTTGGGTGTCCCGCTCTCGTGGCGGGTGAGTTTATTCGTCTGATATGCATCTCTGACTGTATGTACCAACATCTCTGGGTTTCCAGAAATTCAGCAACAGCCGCGGGCTGTCAGAGCGCATCCAGATCGCCCAGGCCGCGATCAACCAGATGACGACCGTTCTCGACGCGTCGACGGGAGAGTTCGCTGGTGTGTTCTCTACATCAATTTGGGTGGTGGTTGGGGACCCATAGCGACTGGACAGGAATCGGGTACTGGCAGTCCGGGAATGTGTGGTCTGTCATGGCGAACCAGGACTACCTCGCGAAGAGCACGGTGAACAAGGCCCTCGTGCTGAACAACTTGAATCTTGTCTTCAACCGGTTCAGCAACTACGATCAGTTTGGGTGCGTTCGTGTGTCGTGTAATTCTCCCGAGCCTGGATGGAGCGTTCTGATTGGGACTGTGCAGGGTGAGTGGTTGAGTGATGTGTCGCGCGCGAATGCTGTGCTGATGGGTGTGCGACAAGTTTAATGATGACGCAATGTGAGTTCTGGGTGAACGATGATGATATGGACGATGCTAATCCCGAAAAAGGTGGTGGGCCACGGCGGCGATCTACGCACACCGGGCGTACGGGGTGCGTTGTCTGTCTTCAAATTCTCCCGAGGCTGGGATCTCAAGGTCATTCAGGATGCGACGATGCTTTCGCACGCGGTTACTGTCTGGAATCATGTGCGGCAGTTGTCAGTGTTCAATGGCACTGAACGGCACACCACCTGACTGATGGCTCGTTCAGCGTCGTTCAAGGAGGAGGAACACAGCCCAACAAAAACTTCCCCATCCAATCGGCTTGTAATGGCGGTGAGTTGGTCCCCGGGGCGAGTGTTCGAAAATTGCTTAGCGATGTCATTCAGTCACTATGGCTGGCGCAGTTTTCTGGGTACGTCTCGATTGTTTGAGCACCACAATATCTAATCACAAACCAGCGCCCCACGATTGACGACTCTGGAATCAACTCCATTACCACTGGGTCGGTGATCTCTCGATGCCTTTTTGAATTGATGTATTGATGACCCTGTTTTTTGACTCCAGGCTTTTTGTAACGTGCGGTTAATTCTGATCGTCGCAATCTAGGTGAAATAACGATCTCAACAGGCTTTCTGCTTTCCTGGCCGAGGCCACCGGCAATTCCATGTACACCAACGCTGCAGTTCAAAGTGCCACGTGGTGAGTTCATTTCATGTCCAAGTTACCGCCTTTTTTTTCGAACCAGCGCTCTAGGATCAAAACCCAGATGATCAACTCGAATCAGCTTGTTCTTGACGGCATGAGCGCCAGAGACTGCAGCCGATCTCCGAACTGGATTTTCACCTACAACACGGGCAAGTACATCGAAGGTCTTAGTGTGCTCGGCGCTGTTACCAAGGACTCGACGTGGACCAACTTGTAGGGGGCTTCTGGTGCCAGCTACGCGAGAAACAGAAACTGATCTGCTGTATTTTTCAAGGATGATCAACCTCTTGAACTCGGCGGTCAAGACGAACGCGTGGCAAGGGAGTAACGGGGTCATCACCGAGGGCGCCAACCCTTCCTCGGACAACGACAATGCTGGATTCAAGAGCGTGCTGATCCGCGGTCTCGCTGAGGCCTGGCTGCGCAACCCAGGCAATGCCCCCCTCACGACCCTGATCCACAGCTACGGCGATGTCCAGGTTGGTTCTGGCGTTTGTCATCGACGAGATCGAGATGCTGAATTCTGTTCAGTATAATGCGCTCCTGGATCTCGCGGCCACCGGAAATACTTATTCGTCCAGCTGGGCGGGCCCGCCGCAGGGATTCACAGCCTGGGGTCAGATGGCTGCCCTCGATGTATTGACTAGCAACGTCCTCACAAACTAAGAGCTCGCAATATCTCATCATGTAGTTATTGAAGAATAATCGATCAGAGTTCTTCTCTCGAATTTTTAACCCGAAGCGCTTCTTTCGAATTGCTCCATGATATAGTTTGAGTTGTTCCTGCTTCGATATCTTCGATTTCAAGCGAGTATACATAGCAGGTTTTTCTTGCTGAGTTGCATGTGGGAGTCTGAAATTATTATTGGAAACTTAACTTGCAGTCGCACAACAAAAATTGAGCAGGTCCTGATGTTGCCAAACAGGGTCAAAGCGACGTGATCATCATTGTTCTTCTTGCCCTTCCTGATCGTGGTGCCGAGCTTGTGTGCATTGCCACTCTGTCTGTCCATCTTTCCTCGCGCTCAAGAGGGACAACCGTCGATTGGACGCGATCACAGCTGGCCTTTTCGTCGCCGCCTCTTTCCTCCGAGCTTACGCCCTCGACACTGAAGCGCGGACCAACGCACACCAGTTGGGGATACTAAAACACGCGTTTAACAGCCCACGTTGTCCGTCACGACACAAGTAACAGCAATGGAGGTGCGTCTGCCCATCTCTCCGCATCCCTTCACCGTCCCTTCCCGCTTCCGATTGGCGGCTGATTCGCACACATGCAGGCGCTACTTGACTTCAACCGCCCCTTCGATGTCTCGCTGATGGACAAGGTCGCGATGGCGTTCTACACCGGGAGCGGTCGGGATGTGCGTTCTCTCTCCCTCCTGTCCCTCCCCATACCCGCCTTCACCCCCACGGCATCGAAGCGCACACGCTGACACCCCTCTTCCCCCCAGCGCCAATCTGCGCAACTCGTCCTCACGCAGTTCGAGGAGAACCCCGAATCGTGGACGCGTGTTCCCGAGATCCTGGAGAGCGCGACGTTCCCGCAGTCCAAGTACATCGGGCTGCAGATCCTCGAGCGGCTGATCACCACGCGGTGGAGGGCGTTGCCGGACGGCCAGCGACAGGGTGCGTGTGCCGAAGCGCGCTTCGGCGGACTCGGTTCTTTTCACTAACACCTTCCTACAGGCATCCGCAACTTCATCGTTGGGGAGACGGTCAAAGTCGCATCGGATGAGATGTCGCTCAGAAGGGAGCGGGCGTATGTCGGGAAATTGAACCTGGTGTTGGTGCAGGTGTGTGTGGAGTGCTGTTGAACCCGAGGAGAGCATGAATCTAGCTTCCCCCAGGTCCTCAAACAAGAGTGGCCACATAACTGGCCGAACTTCATCTCCGAGCTGATCCAATCCTCGACCGCCAACCTGACATTGTGCGAAAACAATATGGCGATTCTGAAACTGTGCGTGCCTCTAGCGCCCTTCTCCTTCCATCCGTTTTGTCCGCTCACACTCGCACAGCCTCTCTGAAGAAATCTTCGACTTCTCTGCGGAACAAATGACGCAGACCAAGACCAAGAACCTGAAAACGCAAATGTCCGGGGAATTCTCGGAAATCTTCAAGCTCTGTGTCGAGGTCTTGAAGGAGGCGAACAAGACATCGCTGGTGAAAGCGACGCTCGAGACACTGCTCAGGTTCTTGAACTGGATTCCATTGGGGTACATCTTCGAGACGCAGGTCATTGACATCTTGCTGAATCGGGTATGTCTGCGAGATTGAGAGGATGTCCTCATTCCGCTGACGAATAGCTTTCAGTTCCTGGAACAGCCCGAATTCCGGAATGTCACGCTGAAGTGCTTGGCGGAGGTTGCCGCGCTCGAGGTCGGGCCCGAATACGACCAGAAGTTCACGATCCTGTTCGCGATGGTGATGGCCGCCATCAACCGGATGGTCCCACCGAGCACGGATATCCGCCAGGGCTACGCAGACGCGGACGACGATGTCCAGGAGCTCATCCTCAACATCACCCTGTTCCTCACGAACTTCCTGACGGTGCATCTGAAGACGCTGGAAGCCGCGGGCGACGCCAGCAAGGAAGCGCTGCTCAATGCGCACATGTATCTCGTCAAGATCTCGACGGTCGAGGAGCGGGAAGTGTTTAAGATCTGTCTGGAGTATTGGACCAAGCTGGTCTCTGAGCTGTATGAGGAGGACCAGCGGGGTGGGGAGGCTGGGTTGTTGATGGGGCTGAGTCTCGGTCCTAGGAGCGGAGGACGCAAGGATATGTACGCTGCCGTGCTCTCCAATCTCAGGCTAGTCGTCACCGGCAGGATGGCCAAACCCGAGGAAGTGAGTGTCACCTAGTTCTTGTCCCGACAGGACAAGCTGCTGATCCTGCCCTCAGGTCCTTGTTGTCGAGACCGAAGAGGGCGAAATCGTGCGCGAGTTCATGAAGGAGTCTGATACGATCGTGTTGTACAAGTCCATGCGTGTCGTCTTGGTTTACCTGACGCACCTGGACGTGTCGGACATGGAGAGTATCCTGATGGACAAGCTCGCGAAGCAAATGGATGGCAGCGAGTGGAGCTGGGCGAATCTGAACTCGCTCTGTTGGGCGATTGGGTCCATCTCGCAGACTATGAGTCAGTCCTTCTCTCCTCTTCTCGCTCTATTGATTCGGTGCTGAGGTGATGCCCAGGCGAAGAGCAGGAGAAACGATTCCTTGTCACAACAATCAAAGAGCTGCTTGCTCTGGTCGAGATCAAGCGTGGCAAAGACAACAAGGCTGTCGTCGCGTCGGATATCATGTACATCGTGGGCCAGTATCCTCGCTTCCTCAAGGCCCACTGGAAGTTCCTCAAAACTGTCGTCAACAAGCTGTTCGAGTTCATGCACGAGAAACATGAGGGTGCGTGTTCTGTTCTCGGTCGTGTCTTGGCCTCACAGAAGCACAGGTGTCCAGGATATGGCTTGCGACACGTTCATCAAGATTGCCCAGAAGTGTAAAAGACATTTCGTCATTCTGCAGTCAGGCGAGACCGAGCCGTTCGTCGATGAAATTCTGCGGAATCTGTCGAGGATCACCGTCGATCTAAGTCCCCAGCAGGTCTGTCTAGCCTGCTTCGCTCACTTCTTCTTTGGCTTCACGCGCAACACCAGGTCCACACATTCTACGAAGCAGTCGGGCACGTCATCTCGGCGCAGGCGAACAAGTCTTCGCAAGAGAGGTTGATTGCCACTCTCATGGAGCTGCCAAACAGCGCTGTGCGTCAAGTTTCTACCCCATCCATCATTCTGGCTCATATCCGTTTTCGCGCAGTGGGATTCGCTTATGGCCCAAGCCGCGCAAAACATGGATGTCCTGGGCTCCTCTGATAACGTGAAGGTGCTTTCGAATATCCTGAAGACGAACGTGTCAGCATGCAGTGCGATTGGTGCCGCATACCTTCCACAGATCGGCAGGGTGTTCATGGATATGTTGGGGCTGTACAAGACTGTGAGCGCGTTGATCAGTGAGACTGTCCAGAGAGACGGTGCGTCCTCTTACTCCTGAACATGCTCGAGCTTTGGTCGCTGACTCTGCCAGGTCCCATCGCAAGCAAGACGCCGAGGATCAGGCAACTGCGCACGGTGAAGAAGGATATCCTGAAGCTGATGGAGACATACATCAACGCCGCTGGCAGCGGGGATTCCGAAAGTCTCGAGATTGTCAACGCCAACTTCATACCGCTGCTCTGGATGCGATTCTAGGTGACTACCAGCGAAATGTGCCTGTAGCGAGGGAGGCAGAGGTGTTGTTCTTGATGGCCGTGATTGTCGAGAAGCTTGGTGTGGTGTCTGCGCGTGCCGTGCTGTGTCTTTGCTGATCTTACTTTCAGGCTCTCTCACTGTCAAATCCCGGCCACACTCGACGCGGTGTTCCAGCCGACACTGGATATGATCACGAAGGACTTTACCGAGTTCCCTGACCACCGCATGGGCTTGTACAAGC